TGCCCACTACCAGAAATGTTTATAAATTTTTCAGGTTAGGCTTAATACTATATTAAAACTGAAGTTATAACTTTATGTTTTTGAAGTTTTTTTAAAGGTTTAAATTATTTTCATCTTTCATTTCAAGGTATCACTTGCAAGTTATTGATAGCTCTTATGAAGAGTTTACTAAAGTTAGGGAGGCATTGCACACTCAAAGCAACATTTCAAAATCTAGGTTAGCTGCATTGCTTACTATTAAATCAGTCAAGCTCTTTTGGGATAAGGCTGGCATTCCTTATAAACAAGAAAATTACAGTATTAAAAATATTTTAAGGCTACATGACAAATGGAGGTTGCTTGCAAAATCTAAAAATAGAATTTCTAATAAGAAGAGTTTAATTGAACAAAACTTTATTCAATCATTAGATGGCATTTTTGATATTAGTCCTCCTAGTTGGAAAGATGACAGTAGAAAAACCAGATCAGCTAAGGATGCAGATGAAGATATTGCCTGGTTTACAGCTCTTCAAAATAGAATAAAAACTGGAGGAATTGGTGTAAAAGATAATGTGCTACATTCTAGTGTTAAAAGAAAAAAAGAAAGAATCGAAAAAAAACAGGTTTTGCCAAAAAACTTCATTTCTCACCCAATGATAACAGCAACTGCAGATAGAACTAAGCTATCAAATCATCAGCTGATGATGAATACTCCTGCAATTCTAGTTTTAGGTTCATTTTTTATTAATAAATAAACAAGATTATTGTATACAATCTAAAAAGAAATATATGTTTTTTAATTTTATACAGGCGGTGTTAAACCTGACGATGTTAGCCTTTCAATAAATACTATAAGAAGATCACGAAAGCTAAATAGGCAAGTAATGACAAGGAAAATAATAACAGAATTTCAAAAATAAGATTAAATCAGATTAAATTTGACACTTCATTGGGACTGTTTTGGTCAGTGGCTTTCCTAATTGTGTTGAAGGAAAAATATTATCAATAAAACCTATACAGTCTGGTACAGGACTTGCTATTTGCAAAGGAATCTTGGAAGACTTAGAGGAATGGGATCTCAAAGCCAACATTGTCACCCAGGTTTTTGATACAACTGCATGTAATACAAGAGTTAGGAATGGAGCTGCAACTTTTTTAGAGGGTTGTAAATCAATGAAAACTCTTCTTTGGCTGGCTTGTCGCCATCACATTTTAGAATTGATCTTGAGAACATTTTGGAGCTCCTTATTTATAAAAGAAAAAAAAGCTAATTATAATATAGATTTCAAAGATTTTCAACAAGAATGGATTTGCGCAGAGAAGGCTCCACTAAAAAAACTAAACAGATTTCTAGATCTTGAAAATTCTTTTCTTAAAACAAAAGCAGATGAAACTCTTGTGTTCTTAGAGAAACAAGTAAAAGGTAAGCATCACCGAGGTGATTACAAGGAAGCTGCAGAGTTAGCATTTTATCTTTTAGGCAGACCAGAACCTAAAGTATGGAAAACCTGTGGAGAAAATCATCATGCCAGATGGATGTCACACTTGTTGTATGCACCGAAGATGTTCATTTTTAAAGAAGATTTACTCGATTCTGATATAGCAAAGTTAAAAATCTTTTTGACTTTCAGCTCAGTTTTATATGTTAAAGCTTGGCTAGAAGCAACAAAAGGCTCTGATACACCAATTAACGATATTCATTTATACAATGATCCAGGCGCTTTAGGGCAGATCTCAGGCTTTTCTAATGCAGCTCAGAAAGCTCAAGAAGTTCTTAACAGGCACTCATGGTATCTAACTGAGGAGGTCTCAGCTAGATACCATGAGGTTTTAATATTAGCCTTTTCTTTAGCTAGGTTTCAGCTAAAGAAAAGGCTAATATTGCGTTAAAGTTGATAGATGTAGGGAAGCCACTTGCTATCAACTCTGGAAAACCTAATCTTCCATCTATTCACAAGAACTTAGAGATATTGCCGTATATTGGGAAAAGATCTTGGTCGCTCTTTCATAACTTAAACAATAAAGGTAAATGGCTTAAACTCCTTCAGAATGTGAGGAAGATGGAAACCTTTTAAAGATGAAACATTTTATCAAAACAGTCAAGGTTACAAACAATGTTGCAGAGCGAGGAATTAAGTTATGTTCAGATTATCTTCAGATACTCACAAAGGTGAGAGAAAGGTATTTTTAAAAAGTATTTAAAGTTTTATTCAGATTGTTTTTACAGAATGTTTGACTGATTTTAGGATGAGGCAGTACGAAACGAAATAATAGAAGTCGTTGAAAATCATAGAAAACTTGTTTGTAATTTCAATAAGAAGGAATTATTCTCTGACTTAGTTCAATTCAAATAACAATTTCAGTTATACCATTCATCACTGCATGAGATAGCACCTTGGTTATATAGAATAATGGATTCGTTTTTTAAAGTTAAAATATATTTTGTGTGATAATTAAAGCATTTTAAACATTTGGAATAGATGCGAAATATGTTCCAATCCGACATCACCTAAGTTTTTGTAGCGATATTTTTGCATAAAAATGCGATTCTTTAAAAAAAATGCGGCATTACTTAGAAACATCATAGATTTTGGCCTCCCCTAATATATATATATATATATATATATATATATATATATATATATATATATATATATATATATATATATATATATATATATATATATATATATATATATATATATATATACTTGTATCTATAAATATATATATGAATATATATATTTATTGATACATATACAATAGAAAAAAACAAAAAAACATTTACCATCAAAGTTTGGGTGATATTTAAACTGTAATAAGATATTGCTTGCAGTTTCAGTATGTGCAAGAAAAAAATACAGGTCAGGAGCATGAACTAGGGCACAAACTTGTGTTTGACTTACTTCAAACTTATCCTAACAAACATTTCCACATATATTTTAACAACTATATATATATATATATATATATATATATATATATATATATATATATATATATATATATATATATATATATATATATATATATATATAAATATATATATATATATATATATATATATATATATATATATATATATATATATATATATATATATATATATATATATATATATGTATATATATATATATATACATATATATATATATATATACATATATATATATATATATATATATATATATATATCAGTGGTGTACACTGGACTTTTAGATGTTTGAGTTTTGATACTTACAGGTATTGTGCAAACTCTAAACTTTTGTAGGTTCATGCTTATGTCAAATGAGAATGTTTTGCAAAGAGTTGCGGTGATAAGAGCTTGGGGACAAAAAAATCCCAATTTTTGGGCCCACCCAGCCCTTAACGTGGGAGCAACAAGTTGATAAAATAATTTCTTTAGTATTTTTATCTAAGTTTATAATCATCAACAAATTTCAAATTTCATCCAATAATTTCTTATTTTTCGAAAATTATGACCATATAAAGTTTTAACCCCCCTCAATTTGAGAGGGCTGTAAACTTTGTAGGGTCATAAAAACTAAAAACTAAGAGGTTATTGCATGAAATTTGAAATTTGTTGATAAATATAAATCTAGTTAAAAATACTTAAGAAATTATTTTATCAACTTGTTGCTCCCACGTTAAGGGCTGGGTGGGCCCGAAAATTGGAGTTTTTTTGTCCCCAAGCTCCAATCACCACAACTTTTTGCAAAACATTCTCATTTGACATAAGTATGAACATACAAAAGTTTGGAGTTTGCAAAATGTGTGTAAGTGTCAAAACTCAAACATCTAAAAGTCCAGTGTACACCACTGATATATATATATATATATATATATATATATATATATATATATATATATATATATATATATATATATATATATATATATATATATATATATATATATATATATATATATATATATATATATATGTGTGTGTATACAAACATGTGGAACAGTGAATTTTACAGCATGTGGAACAAAAAGCATGTGGAACAGTGAATTTCACAGATGAAACATAAAAAGTTCATAAAGGAATTACTACAACAACCAAAAAGAGTAAAATAAATTTTACGAATCTTTACAACCTTGTTGCTGTTCATTGGAAGGATGATGTTTACACTATATACTTTATCCAAGGCACTGACTTGCAAATTGTTAGCGATCATAAAATTTAAGACTCTGTTGAGAAACCTGACATAATTTGTCAGTATAATACATTTATAAGTACAGAAAATAGTAATTAAAAATTTATGACATGGTGGAAGCATGTCTTTTTTAGAGTTCTAGATCTGTGAACCCTAAAGTTATATACTTTAATTGTAACCTAAATAAGAAGACAAAGTAATGATTTCATTTTAAAATCTGTTTGTATTTCTTCTAGTTAAAGATTATCAATAATTTTCAAATAAAATTAACAACTAAAAAAAAAACAACCTATTTTAGCAAATGTTTAAGTCCCCTTAAATGCAAAAGCGTTGAGTGTGTGGTTACCATAAAAACTGGGAAACATTAACACACATAAACTTTAAATTTTGTGATAAATCCAATAAGTTTATTTGCAAAAATTGTTTTGAAAATTTTCATACCAAAAGTAATACCTAAAATATTGTTATATTTAGTTTTAAATCTATTTAATGATAAAATTCTCAAAAATCTGATCCTATAAGGGGTTGTCCATAAAGTACGTACGCTAATAGAAGGGGAAGGGGGCTTCAAACAGAGTAAAAAAGTGAATGGGGGGGGGGAGTTCAATTTTAAAGTACTTTCATTTTTAGTTTAGTAACTTCAGTAGAGACCTGCTATAGTTGCCTATAATTTTTATTTTTACAATTTACATTAAATTTTTATTTTTACATTAAATTTTTATTTTTACATTAAATTTTTAATTTTACATTAAATTTAGGCAATAAAGAGTTAAAGATAAATAAACAAAAATTAAAAAATCAAAAAAAGAAAAAATTATTTTGGAACAAATAAACAAATTTATAACAATTAAACAACTTTACTTTTCCAATTGCATCATGGGATGAATATACATCATAGTCTAATACTCTAAAAACATTAATATAAATTTTATAAATTTTATTATCCTTAATTTTATTATCCTTAATTAATTTTATAAATTTTATTATAATAAATAAATCCTTTATTAAATAAAAAAATGTTATTTTGCTTAATATTTTATATAACTATACCACTAGCTGCTCACTCATTTTGATAAAATGGTGTTGCTCTGTCGAAAACTTTCTTGCTAGATGAAATAATGCTAATATGGTTGGATATCATGGTTGGTATGAATTTAATAATACTAGGGAGTTGTCTCTAGGGAGTTGGTTAGAATTTAGTTAAAAATGCCTACTTTAGTTAAATCTGCAACTTTAACTTTCTACGCTAACACTGTATTGTAATTTTGTATATAATTTCTTTTTTCATAGAGTTGTTTGTAACATCTGATGATCACATAAAGCATGAAACTCTGAGTTATGTTTCATATTTAATTGTAGTTATTTTATTAGTATTATGCTAATATATATATATATATATATATATATATATATATATATATATATATATATATATATATATATATATATATATATATATATATACTTAGTTTTGTTAATAAAGTTTTATTTTTAGTTAAAAAAATTTGTTCACGAATAAGAAGTTTTTTTTAGTTTTTATACTTTGCACTTATCGCAATCTACTATTGTTTTAAGGTTAATACATTAACCTTAGGAGTTTTCTTAAGGCAAGGTTTACTATGTAATATTTAAGGAAGAGCACAAAGATTTCAGTCATATACTTCAGATATAACATCTTATATACAGAACGACAATTTTTTTTAGTTTATTAATTTTGAAACCTAAATATAAGTATCATATTGATTGAAATTTGATTTCTCTTAGATAAAAGTTTTAAAATATTGTATGATTAATTTTGGATTTTTATAAGCGATTTTGTTAATTTAAATATTTAAAAATTTTCTTAATATAATTAATTGAAATATCAAAACCATAAAATCCAACTAAAAACAAACTCAAACCTTTATTAAATCAATTGGGAAATTGGTGCAATATTTCTCACTACAAAAGCAAGCTATACAGAGTTTAAACCCATCACATAACTGAAAGTACATCACTCAACAATAAACAAAGCTGCTTCACAGGCAAATGAAGTAGCCTTGTTTAGTTGAAAAATGAGGTCAGCAATAAATTGGCTACCTCAAACTATTAGCAATGCCAACCCTAATTCTGAGGGTTATATATATAATATATATATATATATATATATATATATATATATATAAATATATATATATATATATATATATATATATATATATATTTAAATATATATATATATATAAATATATATATATATATATATATATATATAAATATATATATATATATATATAATATATATATATATATATATATATATATATATATATATATATATATATATATATATATATATATATATATATATATACATATATATATATATATATATATATATATATATATATATATATATATATATATATATATATATATATATATATATATATATATATATATATATATATATATCATATATATATATATATATATATATATATATATATATATATATATATATATATATATATATATATATATATATATATATATATATATATATATATATATATATATATATATATATATATATATATATATATATATATATATATATATATATATATATATATATATATATATATATATATATATATATATATATATATATATATATATATATATATATATACTCTCTAATCAAGAATAAACTCTCTAATCAAGTTGGAAGTTAACAAAAAAAAAAGTTAAAAAGCAAATACAATGTACAAATGAAACTGACACATAACTGATTGAAAGAAGACTAAAAGTAATATAAATTGTTCTGGAAGTTTCTGGATGAAAAAAATAAATTAAAAAAATCTTTTTTTATATATTTAATTCATCAGAAAATCAGAAAAAACATTAATAAAGGTATGAAACAACACAGGGCCAAGGTTGAAACCTTGTGGTACCTAAGAAATTACTGGAAAAGAAAAAGAGTGGTTTCCATTAAAAACAACTTACAACAATAGTTGTTTACAACAGTTTAAAAGAAATGATTCAGTAACTTTAATGACCTAAAAGTAAGCTTAAAGTGAGCTTATGAAGAAGACCAGTATGTCAACTTTATCCAAAGCCTATGGTATGTCAAGAGCCTTTGCATCAATATTTCCACCAAATCCTCTGTAAAATCTTTCTGTTACAACCATTTTGGAATCCGCAGTAAAACAACAAATCAAAACAAGAAGATCCAAATCCAACTTTAGTGATAGAAAGTAATTTGTTAGACTCAAAATGAGACACTAGAAGTTTGTTAATTACAGATTCAAAGACTTAGCTAAAAATAGCCTTTGCACCATTATTTCCACCAAATCCACTGTAAAATCTTTCTGTTACAACCATTTTGGAATCCGCAGTAAAACAACAAATCAAAACAAGAAGATCCAAATCCAACTTTAGTGATAGAAAGTAATTTGTTAGACTCAAAATGAGACACTAGAAGTTTGTTAATTACAGATTCAAAGACTTAGCTAAAAATTGTCAGAAGATTGTAAGGCAAGAGAGGCAGAAAGTCGGGCAATCACTCAGAGATAACTCCGGACAATCACTCAGAGGGTCAGAGCTATCTATAAAAAAAAAAAAATTTTATTAAATTGAAATTATAGAAGCAGGAAAAAATATTCAGTTAAAAATTGTAAAATAAAGTAAAAAGAAAAAAGTAAAAAGTAAAAATTTTTAAACTTTTGTAAATAAGTAAACAAGCTTTTGTGACTGTGACAAGAATGTTACCACAAAATTTAATTTAGAACTTAATTGAGAAATGACTTTAGCAACAGAAGAATAATTTAGTCTAATGACGGATTGATTTAATGTCTAATGATGGGTTGATTTGCTTTTTTTGGGATGCCAAGACGATTGTAGTCATTGGATTCAAGAGATGAATTTGAGGAAAAGATCTTTGCAAACAACCTTTGTCTTTTGGAGAGGTAATAAGATCAAATCCATGTATGAGAGATGGAAAGTTAAACTTGCCATTTTTACTCACATTGTCAAAGATTTTCCGAAAGTCTCTAGAACCTTGTCGCTAGAAACTCTTGAGATATGAGATTTGGTAAACTGAGAATAATGGAGAACTATGTCATGCTTTAGGGGAGGGGAGGGGTAATGTAACAACTCATACAAAACTGGTTACTAAAGAATTACAATGTTGTGACAAGGAAGGGGGGTGAGGAGTCTTAAACTATATTTATACATTAAAATATAATAACAGGAGAGGGGTCAAAAATTGCATGATGTAATTTGTGGACAAACCCATATTAAAAAGACATTTCTTTTCAAAAGAGTTGTTTAATGAAAAAGATAAAATAGTTAATTACGATTAGAAACAGCAGTTGCACAAGAAAATAAAAACTATGGAGATTTATTATGGAGATTTTTTTATTTATTATGGAGAATTGAATAGTTAGTTTTAAGATAGTAGTAAGAAGTGTGATCTAAGTCTGAAGAAAAAGTAAGAAGTGAAGATTTTAAGAGATCTAAGCATGGTCTTATCTATATAGGTTAATGTCTTATTAGAAGAACTAGCCTAAATATGGCAACAGTATTTTATACAAAGATGAATATGCAATTTATAGAAATATAGATTGAAATCAGGAGTAAGAAAATAATGAGCATGATGTAGAGAGGAAATCTTAGCAAATGCTAATTTTACAATTAATTGTAAATATAGTTCCTAGAGGTCAGGTAAATCTGATGTAGGAGAGGTATAAGATAAAAGTGATAACATGATCAGAATTATATAGTATAAGTTAGTTATATAGTATAAGTTGATAACAATAAAATAAATTGATATATACCCAGGTTAAGCATGTTACTATTGTTGCTAGGTTACTATTGTTGTCTTAATGAATCAAATGATAATATTCATCAACATTAAGATTGGAAGATGAAACAAATTTAAATTAGTCTCACAAATAGCAGTAGATTTGTTGAAGTTTGCAAAAGATTCAATTTAGTGAATTTTTTTTTAATATAGATATTTAATTATAGAGCATGATACCCTAAGCAATAAGTTATGTGGTCTGAGAACTACCACATAGTTGGAGAAATCTTAATTTTTCAAGTATTATTTTTAGAAGCAAAATAAAAGCAAATAGCAATTAATAACTTTTATATGTACTTACTTGACCTGAAGATACTCTTCTTGTAATTCTTCATCATCAACCTATATACATATATATAAATATCTAATAGCCTTTACTTAGCGGGGTATGAAACGTCACTGATGACATAACGCTGAAGTAGAGAAAGGTGAGGGCTTTAGTACAAACATAACTTAAGGGTTAGAGTTTGGGCAGTCAGTCTTCTCATACATAAAAGATCTATTATCTGTCATCATATGCTATTTCTAAAAAATTGTTTAAACTAAAATTTTACAGAAGATGGTAAAAAACACATTTCAAGTTAACAAAGGTTAGATAACTTAAAGCAAAAACGAATTAAATAACTGCAGAAACTGATAAAATTAAATTTTTTATCAACCATGACAATGTTGGTCATGTTCAACATTGTCATTGTTCAATTAACTTTAGTGAACCAAAAATTATTCCTATTACTCCTAATAACTATACGCGTAAAATTCAAGAAGCAATTGAAATACAACGCTTACAGTGCTCTAAATCACAGGAGTATATCTTAAATCGCGACAATGGTAACTTAGTGACAATGGTAACTTAGTCACGCCATTGGAGACCACTTTTTGTTAAACTTAAGTCTAAATCTGCAATGCTGCAATGACATCATTTTTGTTTTTAGTTTTTATGAATTTTGTATAACGGTTTTTTCAGTTTAATAATGGTTTATACTATATAAACCGAAATATCACCATTTAATAATAAAAATAATATATAACCAAACATGATGTTTTTAATTAATTAAATATATATATATATATATATATATATATATATATATATATATATATATATATATATATATATATATATATATATATATATATATATATATATATATATATATATATATATATAAATATATATATATACAAATATATATATATATATACATATATATATATATATATATATATATATATAACTTTGTTCAACCCAAAACTATATATGACTCCACCAAGTTTGCAATAACTGTTAGAGGACCTAATGCATGGAATAAGATAATCAGTAATGATATTAAAACACTTAAAACTCTTGATCAGTTTAAACAAAAACTAAAACTATTACTTTTAAATAATGAACAAACAGATAATTATTTTTAAATCTATCTATAAAAATATTATATATTAAAACTATCTACTAATGCATACTTTATTTGTCTGGAAGGTCTAAATTCTTTAATTTTATATAGGTATTACAGTCTGTTATATTATAAAAAAAGTACTTATAAAGATTTTTAGCATTTTTAGATTTCATTAGTTTAAATAAATTTATTAGTTTTCTTAAATAAGAGAGAGAGAGAGGAAAAATAAAAAAAAGTAATCTTTTTTGAGTTTTAATTTTTTATATTAATATTTTGTAATTTGTTTTTGAGGAATTAATATATTACACTTTATAAGAACAGATTGTAAATTAAATTTTACGTTTACTTTTTTCATGTTTTTTAGTTTTTTGATATTTTTGTTTTTCTGAATGAACTTTTAAATTTTTCTTTCAAAAAATAAAATCGAAAAAATATCTTTCAAAACTTTGAACTATTAAACTATTTGGCATTTTATATAAACTTCTTTGTAATTTTTTGCTTTTTTCTTAATTTTTTAATTTTCATTTTAGTTACCATGTATTTATATAAATGTCTAGACAAACAAGGGACTTGGTGATAAGACAACCCCGTCTTCTTCTCGTCCTTGCCATTTTTAAATATTTTAAATTACGGAACTTGTAAATATTTGTACGGCTAAATTATAAAAAAAAAAAAAAAAAAAAAAAATATATATATATATATATATATATATATATATACATATATATATATATATATATATATATATATATATATATATATATATATATATATATATATATATATATATATATATATATATATATATATATAACTTTTATACTTAGATAATGCCTGCCCAAACCCAAACATTCAGTTAGTGTATATACTAAAGCCTCGCAGACACTCAATATGATCAATTAAGTTTCATGTGCAACTAAATCTGCATTTATTAATATTTGATATTACTGATATATACATATATATATATAGTAAATTTATGTCATACCTCAAACTTAAACCATTCTGAATCCCATTGAGGATTAAGAGACTTCCTGCATACATCAGTCTTGTACACAACATTACCTATTCTGAGCTAAAGTTTTTTTAAAAAAATGCTATAGTTGCTTGTCTAGCAAAATGAAGTTTTTGTATGTATTTATAAGTTTTAAACTACCTAAATTTTTTGATGTCTTATGTTCTTATTTTTACATTAACAAACATAAAAAAAAATTTAATAAATGAAAAAATAATAAAAATAAAACAATCCTGACATCTTAATAAACATTTATTATGTTAAATTGTGTACTTTAATTCATTTATTTACCAATGAAATTTAGAATGAAAATGGAACTTTTGATAAAAATACAATTGTAATTTTAAAAATAAACTACAAAATATAATCTAAAAAATGGACTACATTGTAAAAGTGTTGTGTCTGAGAGAGCAAGAGTCCTAGGTTGGAGAGTTAAACTTTAAAAAAAAAGTTAGAAAGACAAGATCATTTTGATGACACCAGGGGTGTGGAGTCGTAAAAAATAAGTAACGACTCGAGTTAAATAAACGGAGTTATTTATTAAAAAATAAGACTCCGACTCCAACTCCGACTCCGACTCCTACTCCAAAGCTAAATTTATGAAAATTTCTTTGAATTCTTTAAAAAAAATTACACGTTAAGTTAAAAATTTCTTTTTTGACAAATTTGTGAAACATTCTTTGAGGTTTAGTATGAAAATAAGGTTAATTTAATGTTTTGTACATGCACGTGTAATACTGAGAAATTTTACTATTGGAGTCGGAGTCGCGATTTTGTTTAGCGACTCCGACTCAGACTCCACAGCCCTGGATGACATCCTAACAAGGTTCCTGGTTTTTAAAAAAAATGAAAATTCTTGACTTTGAAGAAAAATGTTTTTTTTTCTATTTTTCCAAGATATTTTCGTTGTTTGTTTGTTTTGTTTTTATTTATTTCTAAGACTTTTCCAGGATTTACATAAAAAAAGTTCCAGGACATTTCAAAATAGAATGAATGCTAAATAAATATATAATATCAACTACATAAATAGATAAATCTGAACAAAAACTTTTTGAAAAAATGGGAACAGAAAACTATTTTCAATTTGTTGTTCATAAAATATCTGGGCACCCTGGGAACTGGTATCAATTTTTATTTATAATTTTTTTACTCTTTCATTAATTAATTTCCATTAACACTCAAGATTAGATGCTGCTCAACAATTGTTTTAATGATAATAAAATAAGGAGTTTAGTGTTATCTTTACATTGATACACCAATAATATCCATTGTCAAATGTTCTATAGTGCATGCTATATAATAATAAAGTAAAAAAAAAAAAAAAAAAAAACCATGCTTTAAAATTCAATATTTTTTGAGTCATCTTCTTTCCTGTTTCCTGCAATTATTCAATCTGCTTTTGTTAAGGTTTAAGAGAAAGGATAAAAAACTTGATATCTCCAATATTGAGTATTCAAGATGTCAATAGTTAACTGTACTTTAAAAAAAAAATTAATAAAAATGCAAGAACATTAAAAATCAACACAATTCATAACAATAATATGAACACAAATAGTATAACAAGAAATATAAAACTGTAAACAACAAATAAAAAATAGTATAATTGAATTTAATAAATAAATACCAATTCAAAAATGCGGTAGTGGTATAGTCCTTATCAGGTCCCTGATAGTATCACACTCAACTTGTTTCTTCAGGCAGTGGCCTAGTTTTCAAGGTTTATAATTAGGAATTAAAGAGTTGAGAGAGGCTTGTTTAAACAATAAAGTTGCCTCCTCAACTGTAGTGGCCTTCTCGGCCTTGGGGAGGTAAATAACAAAAATGATGAATTTTTTCAAATTACATTTTAAAAACTAGTTGATTATGTCTTATAATGCCTGTGCAGGTTTCCATTGTCACATAAGTTAAAACTTCTTATTTTAAAATCTTATTTTTTACAAATAAAAAAATTTATAAAAAAAAAAGTCAGAGGATACTTTAAAAAAGCAATAATAATATGAAAAATATTATGCAAATTTTTAGGAATTTTTAGAATAACTAAAAAAGTGCAGGACTACTTTCAAATTCCAGGATTTTTCAGGAATAGTCCTCTGAACTGGACTTAACAACAGAAAAGCTGTTATGAGGAAAGGTGACATGAATGCTTGGCTGGAAAATGAAAGTTATATATCTGACCACGCATATAATACTTAAATGCCACAACTTGGCCGTAGCTTTTTAGATGTTTTAAGAACATTAAAAAAATGCGCAAAACTTTGACTTGACTGACAGGAGACAATTTCTAAAAAACTAAATGAATAATCAGTATCCAAACGGCACACTAAGTATACATTTAAAAACTTTATATTTTACCTAAGTCTGTCCGCTTATTATACTACAAAAAAAAAATAATTAATATGAGGAGATAATATAACATATGAGGAGAGAAATTATATTTTACAAGTAAAATATAATTTCTCTCCTCATATAATAAATTAATATATGAGGAGAGAAATTATATTTTACAAGTAAAATATAATTTTATTTTGTATTTTGCAAAGTAAAAGCAAGTTTTTATTGTATCAAATTATTTGATCGCAAACTTTTATGATTAAGCAAAAAACGTAAAATTAATTTATGAAGAGGAAGCAGAACTGCTTCACATTACCGTTGATAATGTTTAGTGATTGGGTTTTTTAATATATTTGTATGTTTATTTTATGTCACCCAAAAGTCATTTTATATATAAATGTATGTTTGTATTTTATTTGAACCTCTGTTCATAGATTTGTAATTCACTATGTATATATGTATGCTTGTGTTAAGTTGCTGTAAGTTCCTATATGTTTATTTAATAATTAGTTTTATTAACTTAAATGAATATTTTTTTTTAACTTCATTAAAAATGCAGTTGTTGTTGAAAGTTTTGTTTTTATAAATTTAATTGTACAATTTTTTTTTTAAGATTTACATTTAAATAATAAAAATTAATCTATATTAATATAATTGACTAAACTTTATATAATTTTTAATAAAACTTACTCGACTTTATATAATAAAAATAATAAAAATATTTTTATAAACAATCAATAAAATGAAATTGCCAATTATTTAAAAGCTTTGATTACAAAAGATTAGTGTTATGTAGTTAATTTTTTTAGTATGTTGAAACCTAATTTTTTGCACATATATGGAAACATACATAAGTTTGAATGTTCTTAAACACCTAAAAAGTCATGGTCAAGTTGTAGCAACTAAATATTATATGCATGGTCAGGAATAGTGCAAAAATACCCGCTTCCTGAATGAGCCTGTGAATGTGGGATGCTCTATTAAAAACATGGTGTACAAAAAATATCAAGAAAATGTATACAAAATGGTAAATGAAATGGTCTATATGGCATGCAATAACAACCTGTTATGAGGATTTAGAACATTTATAGTTATCCAATGCAATGGTGTGGATTGATGCACATAAATGGACATATATTTAACCTACTATAAAGTAAAACTACCTTACCCTTACCTAATGTAGACCTATACAATATGCCATATAGTGCCATATTAAACCATAAGATTTAAACCATGAACACAATCTTTCTTAAGCAAAAAGATTTAAACAAAATTCTGAAGGATAATCTTATAACACTCCAAAGTACATTAGTTTTAGCCATTGTTTTTAAAAAGTATTGCAGAACAATCCTTTTCTGTCACCAAATTGTTAATTATCATACATGCAGCAATTTATTGTTATAAATTATCCTAAAAAATATTCTTAACTCACACTATATGCAAATCAAATACATCAAAGTAAAGTTAAAATGAATGGAGTTAATAACAAAAATGTCAAGGATAATGCTAATATAAAAATATAAATATGTTTCAAGTTGGAAAAAGTATTTTGGTTAAACCAAAATTACTAGCCTAACACTTATTACAACACTTATTATTTTTAAAATTTATTTATTATTATTACTTTAACACTTATTAGAAGATTTCCAAAAATTTTCCAGATTTTCATGACTATTTTCTTTATGTTTTTGCATTTTCTCATTTTAAATGTTTTACATTGATCTTTATTAATTTCATGCAATAAGTATATAAAAAGCAGTTTTGGTATTTCTTTTACTTCAAGATTATTGTTATACCCAAATAATAAACAAAACTTTTATTTTTATTAGGAACATAAGACAATAACTTATCAGTTTATATAACAATATGTAAATAGCAAATCTCATCAAAATCATCAACTTAACAAAATTAAATATAATAAACTTGATAAAAAATCAAATCAATTATAATAAGTGCAATAATAAATATAAGTATAATAATTATAATAATTATAATAAGTATAATATAATTATAATAATTACTTTATAATTAGTATAAAGTTTACTTCTTAGGAATCTTGTTAAAAACTTCTATTTATATTTATCTATTAATAATCTATTAATATTCTATTAATATTTATTCTATTATTATTTTCATTGTTTCTCTTCTTTAACAAAAAAAATTTTCCATTTAACTAAAAACTTAGTTTTTCATAAACTAAAACAAAAACAAACTTCAACAAATGCATCTGTCAGCTCACTTGCTCTGTCCATAACTGGCAGATCTTGACATTCTATCACCTTTACTTTAACTATACCTAAAAATTCAAGAATTTATAAATGTGTGTAGGTATATATATATATATATATATATATATATATATATATATATATATATATATATATATATATATATATATATATATATATATATATATATATATATATATATATATACATATATATATATATATATATATATATATATATATATATATATATATATATATATATATATATATATATATATATATATATATATATATATATATATATATATATATATATATATATATATATACTAGTTATGTTTAGATTGGGTAAGCAATCTATCTTTTTTTTTTTTTTTAATTGTATTCAAGTTTTTAAACTTTTTGTGGTCTGTTTTATTACTGTTCTCTTTAAAACTAAATTTTATGGAAAAACCTTTTTGACAATCATGCAAGATATATACACTAGTGATCAAAACTTTAGACTCAGAATAAAACTTACAGTTTCTTAGTGAATTGTAGTTTGAAAAAATGCCTTTTTTTATTTTTTCTTTAATCCAGTTTATTATTTATGAAATTCTCTTTAATATATATAAAAGACATGAAAAGAAAAACAAGTTTAAAGTATTTTATTTTGAAAATAGCAAAATCGTGTAAAAAGATATCTACAAAAATCTTGTTTATAAGTTTAGACTCAGGATTTTTCACTTTAAACTGTAAGTCAAGTTAATAAGGTATGTGACCACCTTTGTTAGCTATGCAAAGTCTACATCTTCTTTTAATAGATTCAAAAAGATTTAGACAATATTCAAAGGACAAGCCATCAAATAACTCTTTTAAAGTTTTTCGTAGTTCTTCAGCTGAAGTTACAGGAGCTTTGGTCAGTTTTCAATCAAGCACAGACCATACATTTTCGATTGGATTTAAATCTGGCAATCTAGCTGGCCACTGGAGTAAATTAATTTTATTTTTTTTAAACCAAGCTGTTACTGTTTTTGCTTTGTGACAAGAACATTATCTTGCTGAAACTTCCATTCTGGCTTATCTCCAAAAAATAAGTTTCTTGTTGGAATCAAATGATTTTCAAGCATCTCGATGTACCTGTATTGGTCCATTCTACCAGTGAACAAGTAGCATAGTCCGGGTTCATCATACATGATACAACCCCAGATCCCAACTGAACCTCCTCCGCCCTGTAACCAAGGTACAATGAAACGATTATGAAACTTCTCATTATGGTGTGTTTGAACAGTTACTCTATTTTTTCGATTAACAACTGTATAAACCGATTTGTTGCTGAATACAATTTTTTTTATATCACTATCACTCATCTTAAGAATTTTCTTGCAAAATTGTAGCCGTTTGAGTCGATCTGATCTTTTAAGCATTGGTTTTCTAGCAGCATTATACGAGCATAGTTTACGATCAATTAATCTTCTATTTATTGTCTGTCTTGAGATGTCATTTTTAAGAGCTAGATTTATTTCTTGAGCAATTTGTTTGGCACTATACTTAGGATTTTTTCTGGCAATTCTGTATATACTATTATCATCAGTGGTAGTTGTTTTTCTGGGTCTTCCGGATCTGATTTTATCTAATGTGCAACCTGTTTTTTTCCACTTAGCTATTGTTTTAGTGACACATGACTGCGATACATTCTTGAGAATCAACTGAACTTTTCTTGTAGAATTACCAGCAGGGTGCAAGGTGATAATTCTTTCTTTGATTTCATTTAAGACTGATCTTTTACCCATTTTCTAAATATTTTAAATGCAAATAATGAGTAAAAAATGTATATTTTGATATTTTGAGCGTGCACTAAGTAAGTAAATAATTTATTTTTTAAATGGACTTAAACATAATATTTTAGAAAATATATTTTGATCCATGTTAGAATTACAATCTTTAAAAAAAAGGTTGGGCACTTATATGGAAAAAAAGATAGAAAAAAGTGAGTCTAAGTTTATGAGACACATTTTATTTGTTTTTAAATAGCGCTATTATTAAAAAATAAAATAAAAAGACCAATATATAAAATAAAAGGTGTTTTTTTTTTGTAATTACATTGGAAACAAACTAGGCTAAATGTCTTTTTTTTGTAATTATGTTAATAAACTTTTTTTGGCATTTTAAGAGCTAAGCTTAAAAATTTTTTTTTCTGAGTCTAAATTTTTGATCACTAGTGTACATTCCTATAGTTTGACATCTAAATTTACCATTTGTGGTAAAAAAGAACCCTTAACAATTAAGCACACTTTATGTCAAAACCATTAAATTTAATTAAGGAAACTAATTAGATTTTATCATTTTTTCAAAAACCACAAAAACAAAACTTAATAGACTGGAATATTTTTTAGCTTAAAATAAAAAACATCCTGAATTTTTTTTCTGTTTACATATATCGACTGACAAATAGGTACATCAACTGAGCAATAGATAAAATATGTAATGGACAATTCCATGTGAAAGCATCCAATTTTTTATGAAATGCAACCCTAAGTCTCAGATTTTGCTGATTTTTACACTACTCAAAGATTTTAATGGTTAAAAAATGTTTTTTTTTTTTTTTTTTTTATTTGCATTCACTCCCAACAAGGCTGCAAGCAACCACTATTAAGTTGGGAGTTACTAGGAAAAAAAAAGAACAGAGTTATAGAGCAAGGAAACGGTTGACAGAAGACTTGAAAAGTTGAATGTTGTATGAGTCAGGAAAACATGAAGATGGGAGAGAGTTCCAAAGGATTGAAGTGCGGGGTAAAAAACTAGATGAATAGAAGTTTTTAGAGCATGCAGGGACAGATACAGTAAACGAGTGAGACTTAGCTGAATGACGAGTAAAACGAGAATGAATTTTAGTTGATGGAACTAGAGATGATAACTCCTTTGAGCAGTGACCATATTAGTATCTGTAGAAAAGAGAAAGAGATGCAAATTTACGACGATGGGAAAGAGGTTCAAGCTTAGCAGATAGTCCAGGTCCAACAACATTTACAATGCGTTTTTGGACCTTGTCAAGAAGAGAAAGTGAATCGTTAGAAGAACCAGCCCAAATATGACAACAATATTCCATACAGCAACAAATAAGAGATTTGTAGAGGTAGAGAATGGAATCAGAAGTAAGGAAATGGCGAGCACGATAAAGAGAAGCAACCCTAGCAGAAGCTAATTTACCAATCGATTGTATATATGGTTTCCATAAAAGGTCAGTAGTAAGCGATAATCCAAGAAGATGTAAAGAGGACGACTCAGTAAGAGGATTGCCATTCATTAATATAGGAATGTTGACCATATTACGGTAGTTGTTTGCAGTAAGCAATTGGGTTTTTTTAGAGTTGAAATTCACAAGCCACTGTGAACCCCAATCTATTACTGAAGTGAGATCAGATTCAAGATCAGCTGCTTGTTCTAGGCGATCGAAAAGAGAAGACTTTTTGTCAAGACAGGAGATAAAGTTGAGTCATCAGCAAAAAGAGCTACTTTAGATAAAAGGTTGTCAGTAAGATCGTTTATGTAGATAAGAAACAAAACAGGGCCCAGGATGGAACCTTGTGGAACCCCAGAAGTTACTGGAAATAAAGAAGAGTGTTGGCCTTCAAGGATGACTTTAATAAACCGGTTAGAAAGAAATGATTTGATAATCTCAAAAACTTTCCCAAAAACACCATATGAAGCAAGCTTATAGAGAAAACCAGCATGCCAAACTTTGTCGAAAGCTTTAGATATGTCGAGAGCAATAGCCCTAGCCTCACCGCCTCCATCTAATGCCTGATAAAATCTTTCAGTTACAGCAGTTAGCAAGTCGGATGTAGAGCGAGAGGATCGAAAACCGTATTGATTGTCTGACAGCAGTTTATTTGACTCAAGATGAGATGTGAGGAATTTGTTGATCAAAGACTCAAAGACCTTGCTAATAACAGAAAGAAGACTGATCGGACGATAATTGGAAGGGTCAGAATTTTCTCCAGAGTTATTGAATATTGGAACCACAGATGCCATTTTCCAACAGCAGGAAAACAAGACTCAGTCAAACACTTGTTAAATAGTTTAGAGAGAATTGAAGAAAGTTCTGGAGAACAATTCTGCAAGACTGTGACAGGAATGTTGTCTGGACCACAAGCTGTAGACGATTTTAATTGAGATATGACTTTAGCAACAGAAGCCGGAGTGATTTGAATGTCTAACAATGGGTCAACCTGTTTGACTGGAATGGAAGGAAGAGAATGTCCATAAGATTCAAGAGTGGAATTAGAAGAAAAGTTCTTTGCAAACAGTTCTGCCTTATCCCTGGGAGAGGTAACAAGATCAGTCCCATGAATGAGAGATGGAATGTTAGATCTACCCTTGTTAACAATGCTGTTGAAGATTTTCCAAAAGTCTTTAGAGCCTAACTTCTGCGATAAGATGCGAGATTTAGTGAACTGAGAATAATGGAGTTTAGCATCAGAAAGCACCTTTTTACATCGATTTCTTGCAATAATAAATAGCCCTTTGTTCTCAAGAGAGTTGTTCTTTTGAAAAAGATGAAAAAAATGATTACGATTGGATATAGCAGCCGCACAAGAAGGAGAAAACCATGGAGTAGAATGAGGCTTGACTTGAAACCGACGCGAAGGAATGAAAGCTTCCATTCCAGCCTGAATCCAGGAGGTTACGTAGGAGGCGCATTTGTCAGCTGAGAGAGAAAAAATATCAGCCCAAGGACCATCACGAAGAAAATCACGAAAGGAATCCCAGTCAGCTTTAGGGTAGTAGTAGGTGGTGCGATGATAAGGTGAGCCCAAAAAAGAAGTACGAGAAGAAAGATTTATAGAGATCATTGCATGGTCAGAACCACCCAAGGGAGAAAAGGGAGAAACTGAACATAAGCTAGGGTCAGAGACAAGACATAAGTCAAGGAGTGAAGGTAAATGATTAGGGTTGTCAGGAAAACGAGTCACAAAGTTAACTATCTGAGTAAGAGATTGAGAAATGCAGAAGTTAAAGGCTTTAGTGCCAGATTTGGTCATTGTTTCTGTTCTGTGTGCAATAGAAAACTAAAAATATGTACATTTACATATTTTGAGGCAAGGAATCTTATAAAACAACTTAAAATATTTATAAATAAGCATAACACCTGTAATTTTGACCATTACCACAATTTTATTGGGGCGAGTTTAATTACAAAAATCCCAATGTAGCTCAATTTTTATTTTTATTTTATTTTTTTAAATGCTGTTTTGATTAGTTTAGTTAGAGTTATTACAAAATATTGGAGAGTGGTCTTTTCTTAAACAAAAAAAAAATGGTCAAATTTACTTAAATTTGTTACTTTGAAAGTTAAGTTTTTTCCTTTCAATTTGTTAAATTCAAAGTAAAAAAAAGGTGGTACTCTTAAGTAAATACACAGTAGTTGATGTTTAATACTTTTCGAAAAATCCTTCCACCCACCCTGAGCTTATTAAGACCCCTCCCCCATTTATTGAGTTTTATTCAAGGATCCAGAGTCTCAAAAAAGACTCCAATTTGGAAGTCGCAAAAAAATTTTTTTCTAGTTTTTAGTATCCAGGAGCTCTAAAAATATAAAAAAGCTTATGGACTACTAATGGAAAAAAAAACTTTTAGTTTTTGAACAAGCAGTCTTTAGGTATAATGCCAGCAAGGACTCCTGGCTTAAAAACAATAATTTCCAAGCTATTAAATCTTGTTTTTTTTTCTTTTTGCAGATTATAAGTCAACCAACATATTTAGAGCTTTTGGACTCCAGACCCCAGGAAAAAAATAGTGATATAAAGCCAGAGTCCTTTTCGGAATCAGCATCCCGAATTTTACTTGTTGTGAACAAAGAAACTGTATCTCAAAACTAAAAACAAAAAATAATTTTTATTAATTATTTTCTAATTTCTGAGACCATTTAGATCATAAAAATTCTCACTCACTTATAAAATTAAAAAAATCCTACCCTCGTGTTTATTAACACCCCATTCGTACCCCTCCCCTTCCTATCTCCCCTTATTTATTACATGTGAACAAAAACTTGATTTGTTTATTGATTGCAAAAGTTTAACAAGTTTATAAGGCTAAATTTTGTTTGATTATTTGACCAGTATGTTTTATAATCATTCCTCTTCCTTTATTTACAACTTCCTCCACAACTCTTAAAATAACTGAAAAAGATAACCCACTATTAGAAACATCACCTCCTGAATTACCAATAACACTTAACGCTATTGCAGTGCATTGCCCAACTGGAAGTCCTTATTGCTTATTGCTGTGAGAACTATTTTCTTTAAAATAACTTTAGGTAAAAAAAATCAAAGGATTGTTTATATCTGTTAAGATATTCTAATGACTATTAGAATCAAGTTTTAGTTTTAATTTTATTAACTATTAAATTCCAAATTAAATAAAATAATAAATGCTCTGTCATATAAAACACATTGAGGCACATTTATTTTTCATAAATTTAGCAGCAGATAATTTGAGTTTTCCTAGATAATCCAAGTTTTTGTGTATGTGTCTAATTCAAGCATACACAATTGGAGTCATTAGTATTTTTGGCTCATAGATACCACACACTAAAAGTTTTGGTTGCTGGTATTTTTGAATTATTTATTGTTTCAACCAATCCACAGACATGAACTTATGTAAAATTTAAAGATTACTGGCTATTCATAAGCCTGAAGGATTACCCATCATTTTTTTTAGAGAATAAAAAAATGACTCATGCAGAATCACATGTATGTTTTGTAATTTTTAACTGAACAGCTGAGCACAAAGCAAAAAAGTAGTACTCAGATATTTATACAACTTTTTTCCTAAGAGTTCATTTCTATACACCTTGTGCATATTATTAAACTAGGAGGATGGGCAAGAGATTTTATTGCATAACAAATTTAACTGCTTTTTGAAACACTATTGTAACTAATGTCTAACTATTATGAGTTACTTAGTCTGAGTCCGTTGTTTGTTGGATATCCTATCAAACTCATCAATTCTTACTCTGTCGCTAAAAAAGCACCAATGATCTGTAAAAAAATAGCTTTTGCGTTAATCATAAATCATGAACTCTTATGAAAAAGACTTCAATATTAATCTTTAGTAATAAGCTAAAATTAACCTGGCATATTTGACAGAAGTTCAAACCAATATATTTTAAATGCTTGAATAAATATTTAGATGTTGCATTAACTTGATTAACCCTACAAAAAAAAAAAAATTGCATGTTAATTTTTAAAAAACAAAAGTTTATTTGAAAAAAATATATGTAAAAATAAGAAGGAAATGATAAAACTTTTAACTAGGTATGCTTCATTAATTTATTTTTCAGAAATATTTAGAAATTTAAAGACAAATAAAATACGAAAATACACAAAAAAAAAATTTAAAAAGGTTATAACAATCTTTAATTTCAATTTTTTCTTTTTTTTTTTTTTTTGTTTATTATTGTTGTAGCGTGCACATGCATTGACTGACTTAAATAGGCACATACATCTACTGAGGGTTTAGGTTTGGGCAGGCATTTTTAAAATAAAAGTATTTTAATATTTATTTAAATTGGGTTTATAAATTAATTTAATTTGTATATAAGAGTAAAATTAGGTTAAATTAAACAAGAATTTCAAGTCAAATAGTCAAAATAATTAACAGTAGCTGTTGCGCGTACGCTCGTACGCGCGTACAAATAATGTATAAATAATCTGAAATCCGTCAGTGTAGTAATAATAATTATTTTTTTGTTTTTAATTCTTTTTTTTTTTTTTTTTTGTTTAATATCTGATTTTGAAAACTGGAATATAAATCAAAACAACCAGATTTTCGAAATATTGAAGTGACAATAAACTTGTGTTATTGTGATTACTAAGGTGACCAAGTCATCTATTTTTGTAGGAGAGCGCCGTAAAAATCTAAATTTTAATTAAATTTGGCGCTGCGCTCTCCTACGTAAAAATGAGGACGTTAGTACTCTTTAAGAGTATTTAAATGGTGCAAAATCAACTCAGTCAATAGAGTTTTCAATCTTACAAATTTCAATAAGCTTATCTTGGTTGATATAATCTCACACTTTATCTGTTGTTAATTATTTAATAAGAGATAAAATCAGGCTGGTTCAATTTTTTGGGGGGTTATTTGCGAGATCAGGCTTTGGCGAGTAATTCTATTTAAAAAAAAAGCATTTTTTAAATATTCTGAAAAAATATTTTGAATAACGATTCATCTGAAGTGTTTTGTTTTATAAATTTTGAGCAAGAAATTACACGAAGTGACCAAATTTGAAATCTGTAATATTCTTGGCAATTCCCACATTGGTACATTTTCCAAAAACATTAATCTTAGAATTTAATGTTGATTCATAGAGATCTCTATAAACCTTATCAATGTTGTGTCTTAAATTTCCTGCTTTTCCAACGAGTTTCTTTTAGAGGTTTTACAGTCAAACTGTTTACATAATTTGTTCTCCATCTATGGGTTAATCCAGAAAAAAAAAATTCTGAATTTTGCTAAAAATGTTAACAGCTACAGTGCTGGAAAGCGCAGCATCATTGACAAATAGGTTTATTGAATGGCTGCCACTAGGAACAAAAAAACTCGTGAGTTAAGGTCAAGAATCCTTTTTTTACGCTTCTTTTTTTTTATGTTTGAGTTCATCAACGTCAACTTCGGATTGACGCTTACATTCTTTTTATTCATGTTTGAATTCATCAGCATCAACTTCGGATTGACGCTTACATTCTTTTTATTCATGTTTGAATTCATCAGCATCAACTTCGGATTGAGGCTTACATTCTTTTTATTCATGTTTGAATTCATCAGCATCAACTTCGGATTGACGCTTACATTCTTTTTATTCATGTTTGAATTCATCAGCATCAACTTCGGATTGACACTTACATTCTTTTTATTCGTAGAAAGAAGTAATGAGCACGGAAGATACAGGATCAACCAATGAAAATTAGAGCCAGAATATTTACTCAAATTGATAAAAATGTTGGTTAGAAAATGAAAAGATTTTACAATAAATAATGTTCAAAATATTATTCCATCATTTCGGAATGCATGCCTGATGCTGGTCACTATGAGTAAATGACTGTTCTTATGAAAATATGCAACATATGGAGTACACCAGTAGAAATTAACGAATGTTTTGTAAGATTCAACCTGTCAACACTGGTTTAAGTTAAAAGCATGCAAAAAATTTGAAGATCTTTTCAGAAATTTGCAGAACTGCAGAGGCCAAAGATATGATAAGACAAAAATATGAAAAGCTGCAATCGGTGTGTAAAATAAGACGTATACATTTTATGTGCCAGATGAATGTTGATCTAATTTTTGAAATGATGGAGAAATTATCAGTTGTTGTGCAAGACACTGTTTGGAATTTTCAATTAAATTTGGCGCTTCAACAGAGGGAGAATAGATCTTCAAAACTCGTGTACAAAATCTGAAAGTTAAGTCTATTTTTTAATTCACGCAGAGAACGCAGGATTGATAGTGTCAAAAATGAGGCTAGTGAAGAAAATTTCATCAATTCTACATTTTAGTTAGTTAAGTAATTTAGTATGATTTGATGTTTTTGATTGTTGATTGATGATGATAATGATTGATTGATGATGATTGATTGATTGATGATGATGATTGATTGATTGATGATTTGGTTGATTAATGATTGATTGATGATGATGATTGATTGATTGATGATGATTGATGATTTGATTGAATTGATGTAATCAATAAACATATAATTTGATATTGCACTGGAATGTATGAAAAGTGACGCAAAAACGCCTAAACAGTCTAGTAATGTAATATATTGAATGAAATATCATTCAGTATCTGAATTATTTAAAATTATTTTGAGACTTTGCTGCCTTCAAAGCACGAAAAGTTAATTTTGTTGAACAATGAATAAACTGCATAAATGTAAAGTTTGCGACCAGCAACTCTTTACGGTCCATACTCCAGTAATATGCTGGTGTTATATGAGATTTTTACTCGCAATTTTTAGATATTAGTCATTCTATGTAAAATTGTTAAATCCAAAAGAAAAATTTAAGTTAAATCGCTTTTTAAATTTTTGTAAATCATCATGACAAATGTCTGTCTAATGGAACCAATGGTACTTCTCAGGTGGCAGTATAAACTGTTCATGTTGCGAATTTCTTGTTTTTTTCCTGGTCTTTAAGTTGTTATAAAAAGACAAAATGGTAACTCTACAGAGCATCGCACAAGAGTACTTGTCGACATTTCTTTTACGGTTGGGGTGAACATCGAACCTTAAACTTTGTTTGGCGTTACATATAAACTAAATCAAAAACAGATAATAGTTGTTTATCATACAAGGTTTAATTCTCACCTTTTTTTTCCTTTTCTTTGATCTTATTTTGTTAGGAAATTTTGATTTTTAAACATTTTTGAACATTTTTAAACATGTTAAATGTAAAATTGTATTTAATATGTAATGCATAAGATATGAGAAGGTATTTTATTTTTCAATAAAGAGGAATAATATTTTAACACCTTCTTTCTAAACTTATTTATTCAGTTACAGTTAAACTTTTTTTATTTTTTAAATCAGCACAAATTCCATTAACTCCCGGCGGCATACAGTAGCCTCTCGCTTAATTGCGCAAATTAAAACAGGCACTGCGGTGCGCAATTAACTAGGAGTGTGCAAATAAGAAAAAAATAAGAAAAAATTTAGCAAACTAATTTATTAACTATATAAACAAATCTTTATTAAGAAATATATAATGCATGACGGAAAAAGCCATGAATTGTAGGCTGATATGCATTCTGCAGCTTTTCTCGTTTAATTTTCATAATTACTGACCGTATGTTTGATGATAGCTATTCATTAATTTATCGTTTTCGTCTTTTAAAATTGCTTTAGCTTTTTGACATTTTAATTGTTTGCCAATATTGATCAGAGGTAAATGTATAAATTCAATACCTAAAAAGTCTGTACCACCATCTATCTCATCATTATTAGCTTCTTCTTCATCAGAATTGTTATCCCCATCAACTGCATTATCATTATTTTCTTCGAGAGACAAACAATCTTCAACATCTTCTTTGGTTGCTTCAATATACGTTGGAGAATCTTTATAGTCAATTGATTCAAAATTGCTGATATTTTCCGAACTGATCATATTCCCTATTCCTTCAATTTCGTTCAGCAGCAAGAGCATATTAAAAGGTGCAAAGTCAGCCTCCTCAGAGGATAGTTCAGTGTTAACGGGACTCGAAGTCTGAAATGATTCTGCCTTGTCGAAAAAATTTTTGAGAGATGAAGGTTGAATTAATTTCGAATCCGAATTGACATACTTAGCAGCGTCAAGAAGATGTGCGGACTTCCCATATTCAACTTCTGCTGCACCTCTTTTGCACAAAAAACTACTTTATTTCAGACATTCCTTTGTATTTACATCGAGGCTGTAATATGACAATATGTCTGAGAGATATAGATATTTATATCGCTTCTTGAGAGCCACAATAATCCCCATATCACATGATTGCTTCCAACTTGTGCAATTTTGAGGGAAGAAAACAACTTTTACAAGATTTCGCTCAAACGCCTTAAAATGCCCAGGTGCATTGTCTAATAATAAAAGAACAGGCAAGCCAGTTTTGGGTTTTACTTCAGGATAAAAGACTTCATTGAACCATTTCCAACATATAGAGACATCCATCCATGCGTTTTTCTGACAAAAATAGTGTATAGGCCATGTTCTACCGACTATACAAGCAGACCGTTCAGCTTTTCCAATCATAGAACAGGTTTTTTTGTGAGATCCTGTTGCGTTAGAGAAAACAACTTAAAGTCACTCTTTCTATAGTTTTTTTTTTTTACCTCTTGTAGTAACTAAGCTTTCAGTAGGCATTAATGTGGCACACAACTGAGAAAAGCAAGTTTTTTGAAAAAAATCAATTTTTAGATTTTTGGGTATTTTGATTCTATAACCATTCCTTGAACATATAAATAAAAATTAGTTTCAAAAATGATTTAAAAGCTGATTTAATATCATTTTAGTAGATGACACTTGAAAATAAATTCCCTAACAACGCCTTAGCATAATAGTTTTTCTGAATTCAAAACAGTAAAACACCATCACATACTTGGTTTTAATTTGTTATACGCAGACTCTTGTTAGTTTTCCGTTTTAAAAGTCATAATTCAAAATTTTATTCAAGAACAAGAGTGTTTTTAATCTGTTAATGTTAGTCTTTTATA